TAAGATAACTTAACACCCACCACCAAAAAATAATAATAAAGCCTCAACAAGATAAAATCAACAATATAAACTGAACAAAACCACTTTTTCCAGAAATTATAACCTAACTTCAACCGAGCGTCAGCGCTGTCAAACGTCAAGTCCCGAACGCGCGCATATTCCAGTCCTTCTAATGACATTGACAGCTGTCAGCTAGGGATGTGACGTTAATGCCGATAATCTAGTGTTGCGCCAACTCTACACCGTACTAATTTTCTTAATTAATTTAATGTGCAATTTACCTGACGTTCTTACGGTGAGAGAGAAATACAAAGATATGTGTGAAGTTCCGCAGTGCGGTTGACTATAACCTAAAACTTAGGGTAGGCTCCCCTTCAGTTGTGACATATACTGAGCTGGCTGATTTTATCTATACTAATATTATAAAGAGGAAAAATCTTTTTTTTTTGTAAGCATTGAAATAACTAAATAACTACGGGACTGATTTAAAAGATTCTTGCAACATTAAAAAGCTGACAATAAGTAACATAGGCTATGTTTTTAAATGACTTCCCAAAAGGAGGTACTCAATTCATCTGTATGTTTTTTTTAATAGAGCAAGGTAACACTATATTATGTGAATTCCAGGAGCTGCAAGGACATACAGGGTCAGTACTCTGCCTGCAGTATGATGAGAGAGCAATCATCTCCGGCTCCTCGGACAGCACAGTACGAGTGTGGGATGTGGCCACCGGAGCCATGCTGAACACCCTCATACACCACTGCGAGGCTGTGCTGCATCTCAGGTTCTGTAATGGAATGATGGTTACGTGCAGTAAGGTATGATAATAAATATATACTTTTTTTTTACATAACATAAGGTGGCAAACGAGCAAGCGGCCACGTCAATTCGCCAAAATGGCGAAGTGACCGCTGCCCAGACATCCGCTATTGCAGATGCGTTGCCTACCCTTAGTAGTAGTAGGGGCTACGGTTTCCGCAACTCCACGACTAGCGCGTATTTTGCGTTTTGGTTGCCTACCCTTATCCGACAGAGGAGATGCACATAAAGAGGATATTTCCCTTTCATATGTATCTCCTCCGTCAAATCCACATCCCCTTCTCATCCTCTCCTTATAAGAAAAGGGTGGTAAAGAGAAAGGGACTTAAATTACTGTTACTAGCTGTCGCACGCGACTCCGAACGCGTGGAATTAAAAAAAATGAGTAGCCTATGTGTTCTTTCAGACAATCCACCACGTCTATGCCAAATTTCATCGAAATCTGTTTAGCAGTTTAGGCTACAAACTAACATCCATCCATCTAAACTTTCGCATTTATGATATTAGTAAGATAAATGTGAAATGGATGGATGTTTGTACCCTGATGAACGGATCTCGATGAAAGTCAGACATGTATAGACAGGTTGCATATTTTTGATTTTTTTTTTTATAATTTCACGCGGACGGAGTGACGGGCAAAAGCTAGTAAATAATATCTCTTAAATGCATGGTTTTTAAGTCTCCCTGGAAATTATTTAGGTAATAAATATATTGAGTGTTTTTTCATATTAATTGTTTAAAATTATTATGAAAAAATATGAAAAAACACCCAATATATCATATTAATATTATAAATGCGATTAGGTGGATGGATGTTTGTTATAGTTTGTAGCCTAAACGGCTGAACGGATCTCGATGAAATTTGGTATAGATGTAGAGGATAGTCCGGAAGAACACATAGACTACTCACTTTTGTTTCTTTTAATACCACGCGGACGTATTCGCGGGCGAAAGCTAGTTATATATACATTTGATAAAGATACATTTAAGGGATATAATAATGTAATGTTTTCCAGGACCGTTCGATAGCAGTATGGGACATGACGTCGACGACAGAGATAATGCTGCGGCGGGTACTGGTCGGCCACCGCGCTGCTGTTAATGTGGTCGACTTTGACGAGAAATACATAGTCAGTGCCAGCGGGGATCGTACTATTAAAGTGAGAATATATCATACTAATCTATACTCTATGCTATATCATAGTAATATTATAAATGCGAAAGTTTAGATGGATGGATGGATGGATGGATGTTTGTAAGCGTTTGTAGCCTAAACGGCTGAATGGATCTCCATGAAATTTTGCACAGATATAAAGCATAGTCTCGAAGAACACATAGGCTACTTATTTTCCCGGGAATAGTTACGGTTCCCGTGGGATTCATTAAATTAGTTTTTTAATGTTTACTCGATCATTCTGCAACGGTTCCACATACCTTATTGAAATTTGGCACAGATATAAAACAAAGTCTGGAGTACACATGGGATAAGGTTCATCTCCGAGAAATGTCCGGTTCCTGCGGGATACTTAGTTTTTTGTTGTTTAAATAGTTCGTATGTTTTGTAATACCATAGGGACGAAGGGCAACAGCTAG